CGGCTTCGCATACCCGGGGACCTCCGAGCGCACGGGCTCCGCCTCGTCGTCGTCATCTTCTGCCGTGGTCGCGGCGCGCCCGGAGGCTCCCCCAGCCAAAGAGTGCCCGGCACCCGCGCCTGCTGCGGCGGCGGCAGCGCCCCCGGGCGCTCCAGCGCTGGGCTACGGCTACCACTTCGGCAATGGCTACTACAGCTGCCGCATGTCGCACGGCGTGGGCTTACAGCAGAACGCGCTCAAGTCGTCGCCGCACGCCTCGCTGGGAGGCTTCCCCGTAGAGAAGTACATGGACGTGTCGGGCCTGGCGAGCAGCAGCGTACCGGCCAACGAGGTGCCCGCGCGAGCCAAGGAGGTGTCCTTCTACCAGGGCTACACGAGCCCCTACCAGCACGTACCCGGCTACATCGACATGGTGTCCACCTTTGGCTCCGGGGAGCCTCGGCACGAGGCGTACATCTCCATGGAGGGCTACCAGTCCTGGACGCTGGCTAACGGGTGGAACAGCCAGGTGTACTGTGGCAAGGACCAGCCACAGGGCTCCCACTTTTGGAAATCGTCCTTTCCAGGTAGGGGCGACTGAGAAGAGGGGAGGACACGAGGGAGGAGGAAAAAGGAGGAAAGAAAAAACTAGGAACGTTCGGCCCTCCTTGAGAGGGGGTGCTTGCGCTCCACGCCTGGCCAGAGTTTACCCAGTGCAAGTTTGTCCAGTTTGTGTAAAATCTGTTCGATCCTCTTCTGATTTAAGCTCACAGCTCCCTCCCTCGTGTGTGCCATGTAGGGCATGTTTCTTCTCCTAAAGTTGAGGGTCTTTGCATGTTCTTTCCTCAGTTTTCTCCCTCTCCTCCCAAAGAGACTGTTTTCCTAAGAAATGTCAGAGTTCAGCCCTCACTTTTAAGGAGAATGACTGCCCCAGTGTGACCACTAAAGCTTGTTAGACCAAGCCCATAAGCTCCAAATACAGAAATACGGGAGGTCAAAACTTGAGCAAGAGACCTGAACTTGTGTGTGTGTGTCTGCATGTATGCAACCAGCACTTGCAGAAACTGTCCTTATGAGCCTGCTCAATAACCACACCATAAAATTGCAGGCTTGTTAAGATGCCGGTTTGAGAAACCATGATGATCTATCAAATTAGCCTTTGTTTTGAAGTGCAAATAATCTTTCTTTAATAACGTGTAAATATTATGTGTGTGTAAATCATAATAAAATCCAAACAGCCTGATTTTCTTTATTTCCTGCACCCCCTCCAAACACACACACACACACACACACACACACACACACACACACACGGTACCCAGAGAGGTGCTCCAAATATCCGTCTAATTTTTCTTGTACTGTTGTTTGTACCAGGGGATGTGGCTCTAAATCAGCCGGACATGTGCGTTTACCGTCGGGGAAGGAAGAAGAGGGTACCCTACACCAAATTGCAGCTCAAAGAACTGGAGAACGAGTATGCCATTAACAAGTTCATTAACAAGGACAAGCGGCGTCGTATCTCGGCTGCTACGAACCTGTCCGAGAGACAAGTGACCATTTGGTTTCAGAACCGAAGAGTGAAGGACAAGAAAATTGTCTCCAAGCTCAAAGATACTGTCTCCTGATGTGGACCGGGTTGGCCACAGCCAGTTTAAGATGCCATTCAGTTGTCTCCGAAAGGCCGTTGGAAAGACTTGAATATGTATTTAATTCCCCCCACTCCCTGCCAATGAAGGCAAATTTTGTGAATTGTTTCTTCTCTCTTCCTCTTACCTGGCTCTGAAACCTTTTACTGCCCAACCTGACTTTGTAGTTCTGATTTTTACCTGTTTATTATGGGTTTTGTTCTTGTCTAGTTTTTTTTCTTTAATGATATTTTTAATGTTCTGTTTCTCCTTCCTGGCCAGTATAAAGGACTTGAAGTATTTTGAATACTCTCCCCCCATGAAGTTCAGAAGTGCCATTCTGATTTAAGGGTTTTACTTTTTAAAATCACTTTATGTGTCCGTTCTCAGCACTGATTATCTTCATAATCCATTAGGGCAGAACGATTTGCAGTCATTCATATCCTGTAATTAGGTAATTGAATCATTAGCTCTCAGCAGTTGCCCTGAGGCAAGGGGAAACAGCTCCAGGCAGGCAGGGCTCTGGGGTCACTGGGAAAGTCTGAAATCAGGAGGGTGAAGGTATTGTGATGGCTTTAAAAGTGACTACCTTATTAAATAGGGTTCGCATTGGTAATGGAATGAAGACAATCTTTCTGACTTTGGGTCTTTCACTTGCTGTTTTAATTGTATGTTTTTAACAAACCTTGTCGGCTTGTGTTTTTTGTTTGAAAATAATGTGTCCTCATGGATGCTTTCATTTCTCTAGATGCAGGTATGGAAATGGCTAGATTTGTGCTCTAGAGGCAGATATTTAAACGCCTGCAACCACCGGAGTGTCCCATGGATGGTTTAAATGCACCCCTTTTCCTTGATCTCAGATCTGTGAGACTGGGATTGAAACCATATCCTCAATCCTCAAAAAAGAGGCCGTGGGTGGGAACTTATATCCAGAACCCACTGAAGAATTCAACTGTCTGAACAAATGTGTTGGGTCTCCCATGGAGCTTTAAAACATCTAACAAATACGGAAAATGTGGAGCTCTAAGGTTGAAGAAGAAAAAAAGACACTTCTGAAAGTGATGATAAATAACTACTTTTAAAGTGCTGCATATTTATACAATTGAGAGATTATTTTTGTAGATGCAATGTCTGTGAGCTGGGGTATGTGGGCTGTGCTTCAGGCATTTAAAAATCACTTTTACTCCTAGGGAGATGCCAATAAACAGAACTCTCTTGTTTCCTCTGAGTCCTTATACATGTTTCTCTTTTCAAGTTTTTGTTTCCTCTAGAAGGTATTATTTATTACAAAATCCTGCAATCCTGAACACCATGATGTTCACTACAGATGAAGGAAACTCAGCACCAGTCTTGTCTGTCTGGAACCTTCATGCGCTCCACTTCTGACCCCTCTCTCCCTTTCCTCTATGGCTTTCACATAAGTAGTGATGTGAAATGAGGATATAATCTGCAGTGTCTAAAATGATATTTTATATGAGGTCAGCTGAAAAAACGTCTCCAATAAAAATTCTCTTTCAGAATTACCAGTTTATTTATATAGTTCTATTTATTTTTTAACATCAAAATGTATTTGTGTGTCTGGATACAGGAAAAACTCACTCACTTGAAAGTTTTCTACCTAGAAAGACCATTATAAATATCTGAGCTAGGAAGGTCTTGAAATTAGAAAGGCATATCCATATTTGGCAATCGAAAAAGAAACATTTCAAGCTTATCCCATATCGCTTTCTTTGGATAGTCTGCACACACCAATTGACAAATTAAAACGCATTTATTCAACCTAAACTACTAGAGGCAATTTTTAGGCACGACAAACTTTCTCTTTCAGGCCTTTTTGCCACTCAGGGAAATGGCCGCTGAGCAACTGGGTGAGTTCATTCCCAGCACAACCAATTTAGTGGCTAGTAACTTTTCATATGTGTTAGTTAAATGTTGATTTTTAAAACCTCGCATAATATGTAAACTCTTCTGGTGGGAGGGCTTCCTTGTGGTTCTGAGAAAAGCGCAGAGGCCTGAGGTTGGGAGCTACTTTCGTTTTCTCTGGCCCAGCTTGGTTTCTTTCCTATCTTATCTGTCGACAGTGGACAGCCGATTTCGTTTGGTGGGGCGGGGAGTTGGAAAGGAGAGGGAGGGGAAGGGAGAGAGATTGAGATTGAATTTCTGGAAAAGAAACATCGCTTGAAGGTGGGACCGCGTCGTTACCGAACTCACACCTTGGGGATGGGTGACTAACATTTTTGTGGGTTTTCTCACAAGATGTGTTTTCATCAGAAACGGACGTGTAGCGATTTTTTCTTTCTGCCCATTGCCGTCCTCCCTCTTTTTTCTAAGTTCCACACTCCAGGGCTTCACTCACTCTTCCAGGTCCGTTTCCCAGGTTCCCCAGAGTGGGTAGGGGAGGTTGCCTCGAGGCTTTCCTTCCATCTGTGGTTTGCACGTCCGTTTCCCTCCGCCTAGGAGAAATGGCAGGTTTGCGGAAGATTAAAACTGAGCTCGAACGCTCTCTGGTGGAATTTGGATTGACGGCTAAATCAATAACAGATGAAGTCTTTGTTATTTATATGCGTTCCTTTTATATTCCAAATTGCGGAGGGAGGAGAGGAACGGGTAAGTGGCCGAGGCGCTGGAAGGGAGGCCCTGGGGGAGCCCCGGAGGCGAAGGGAGCTGGGGAGAGGCCTTTCCTGCGGTTAGAGAGAGGCTGCAGGGACCTCGCCTCAGAAGCCTGGCAGCATTTTAGCGCCGCGGGTGAGGGACCGAGGCCCGCGTGTCTATGCGTGATTCAAGAGGCGAAGGAAGCGTCGGAGCCGAGACCCGGCGCTAGACAAAAGGGTGACGGCAGCGCTTCTCCACCTCTGGTAGCCCGCTGGGTCCCTCGGCTCTGCTGTCAGGGTCGGCCTTGCCGCCACGATCTCCGGCTTTCAGCGGCGCTCGGTTGCTCCTGAAAGCAGGCCGTGACCGCGCGGGCCGGCGACCCCAGGGAGGCCGCACCGCCCTTCACTGTTGATCTTGACCGTGCGGCTGCGCCTCGATAGGCGTGGAGCGCGCTCGCCATCTCCTGGGCGTTGGGCGGCATTGGCAGAGTGCGCCGCTTCGCTCCTCGGCCAAATCTTTCCCCGTTCTCTCTATCACCGATCAAGCCTCCTACACTCTCCATCCCCAGCCCACCCCACCCTCTTCCCTTCCCACCCTCCCTCCGAATCCTCAGCTCCCCGCTTCACGCAAGACTTTGCCTGCCAGACCTCGAAAGTCATAAACCCGGGGAGATGAAGGGGGGACGCTGGGCAGGGAGCAGTGAAGGGAGTCTAGCTGTTCGTCTTTTCTGTTTCTCACTTAGTTCATTTATGCCTCCAGTCGGGGGGGGGGGGCAACCAGTTGTGGCAGGGCTGCCCAAGGGTCCGAAGGAGACATCCCTTGGGCTAGAAAAAAACAGCAAATCGCTGTGCGCTGAGACGAGAGGAGAAGAGACTGCAGGAACTCCTGGATCTGGAGCTTTCGGGCCCAAAGAGCCTGCAGCTCCTCGAAATTAGGGCGTGTTCCTCAAAATAAGGTCCTCCTAAAGACCGAAGGCCGTGTCCTCCTAAATCTCTGGGAACTCGGGTTGTTTCTGCCCCAAACTCCCATGAAAAGACGCAAGCGTAGTGAGCTTGAGCTTCTAAGGAAACTCTAGCAGAACCCAGAGAAGCCCCAGACTTCCCCACCCCCACCGCCCCACCCCCGCCCTGGAGCGGGAGGAAGAGGCCGATTGCGTTCCCCAGAGCCGCCCAATTGGTCGCCATAACTCACACAATAAAGTCGCAGCGCGGTGGTCAGCCTTGCCCTCCGGCGGCGCCTGTGTGGTCTCAGTGCCGGGGCTGGCGGTCTAACCAATTCCAGCTTGGCTCGGGGACCGAGGGCCTGCTGCAGGCTGGGGCTGGCGCCCGTCACCCTGTCTCCAAAGGTCCTGGGACCGGAGGCAGGAGGGGAGGACCTTTAGTCCGCGGGCCAGACTCAACCGGAGGGCCTGTGGCGGGGTCTGCGCGTCCTGCTCCCCGCCAGGGACTGCGGCCCTCCCCGCTTCCCTGTTCTCTAGACCCGCGAACCCGCTAGCCGCCCGCGCCCCGGGGGCTCTGGGGCGAGGAGCGCTGCTAGCCGGCTGCCTCGGTGCTCTTCTGAGCCCTGGTCAGCTGACTCTGGCTCTTCTGCCTTTCCACAGCCGTTCGGGGGAGTTCGTCCTGTTCTGCCTCCCGCGGGATGGATGGGGACACTGTGGAGTTTGGGTTTGCAAGGTGTTGTCACCAAGATGACTCCTGGCGATAAAAGGAATGTAGCCTTTGGCCACAATGGGCGAGGTGAGCGGCCGGATTCCCTGGCCCGCATTCTCCATGGACCTGGATGGCAACTTCCCCAGGATCAGCGTTCCTGGCCATGGGGACACAAACCAGGAGTGGTGTGAAGCCTCCTTCCTGGGCGACAAACTTGGGCAAAGCCTTGTGTCTGCGGCCTGGACGGAGCACTCAAGCAGCCTGCAGGTCTTTGCTGCCAGATCCCCAGGGATGAGGCCTCTGGAAATAACCTTTCTGTGGGAGGGTTTGGGGAAGGAGTGGCATTGCTCAGGCCCAGGGACAGAGTTCACCGCCCAGCCAGACCGCGCCCTCTCCGGACAAGCCGAGAGGTGCCGATCACTGGAAAACGCCTCAGCTGCAGCTGAAAGCCGGTGGACCCAAGCCCGGCCCAGACAGCCTGCAGAAAACGGATCGCGAAGTCAATCACGACCAAGAAGGCCCCAAGGGACGCTTGGGCTAAGGCACCCTCCTGCCCGCTGCCGCCCGCTTCCGAAGCCGGTTCGGAGACGCTCAGAGGCCCAGCCTTCGCACAGCACGCCCTGTCTCTGCCGGCAGCCCAGTCCTTCGCCATCGAACGTTTCGGGTGTTATCATAATACCCCGAAGGGGGGGAAAACGGGTCGGGGGGATGTAGGCGGTGCTGAAATGACCGGCTTTGAGGAACCTGCAGGCAAAGTTTCGTCCAATCGTCTGAGCCTGTCCTCTTATTCCCGGTTGTAACTAAATACTGTGGCGAGCACAGCAGAAGCCCTTTGTTGGAGATGTGTGAGCGCAGTCTCTACAGAGCGGGCTATGTGGGCTCGCTTCTGAACCTGCAGGCGCCCGACTCTTTCTATTTCTCCAACCTGCGGCCGAATGGCGGCCAGTTGGCTGCGCTACCCCCTATCTCCTACCCGCGCGGCGCGCTGCCCTGGGCCGCCACGCCCGCCTCGTGCGCCCCCGCGCAGCCCGCGGGCGCCACTGCCTTCGGCGGCTTCTCGCAGCCCTACCTGGCGGGCTCCGGGCCTCTCGGCCTGCAGCCCACGGCAGCCAAAGACGGACCCGAAGAGCAGGTCAAGTTCTATACGCCCGAAGCGGCCGCCGGGCCAGAGGAGCGCGGCCGTCCGCGGCCGTCCTTCGCCCCCGAGGCTAGCCTGGCCCCTGCAGTGGCTGCTCTCAAAGCGGCCAAGTACGACTACGCGGGTGTGGGTCGTGCCACGCCG